AAATAAATAAATAAATAAAGTGAATATATTCATGGGACCAGAACTCAGATCAAGAGACAGAACTTGTGCTCCAGCAGCCTCCCTCATGCACCCCACTTAACCACTCCCTTTCTCAGGGCTGACTGCTGTCCCAAGTGGTAGCATCACAGGGGTGCTTGGTCTGCCTGGGAAGTTACAGAATAAAATGATATAGTCTGCTTGTTTTTGTATCTTTTTTTCCCACTCTGTTATGTTGTAAGATACATTCTGCCCTGCTTATTGTTGCAAATCATTCATTCTCCTTGCTACACTGTCCCAATTTGTTTATGGATACAACTGTGAGGCATGTAAATGGCAGTACTGTTGTCATGGGCTTCCAGCAACACGTTTCTGGGTGCCTTAATATACTCATAACCTGGGCTTGAATTTGTTTGCCATAAAAAATGTGGGAAGAGGCCGGCCAGATAGCTCAGTGGCCTGGAGTGCCTGCTTAAGCAGATGCTGTGGCCGGGGTTCAATCCCCAACCTGTGGTGGCAGCCCCGCCCCCTGGGTGCACTGAGGCAGTGATTGAGACTAGGCGTGGTGGCGTACACCTGTAATCGCAGCACTTGGGAGGCTGAAAACCAGAGGATCACTACGTGTCTGACCTACATAGTGAGACCTTGAACACCCTGTAGTCCCTGTCCTAAAATACACACACACACACACACACACACAAAGAAAACAAAACAAAAGAAATGTGGTAGCTCAGCTTTAGCACCTTCTCTTCATTTTAGAGGTGGTGAAAAGGGAAGTCCAGAAAGGGAAGAGACCTGTCCAAGAGCTAAGAGTAGACCTGGGATTGTTCTCTCCTTGTGCAGTTTGTCCAGCTTCTGGGGAAAGGCTGGCTTTGAGATTGAGAAGATCACACGCATTCATCTTGAGCTTTCTTTCTAGTAACCCTTGGAAGCAACCAGTGAACAAGGAGAGGGAAGCTGTCAGTGGGGCTATAATTGCAAACACCAATTGTGGTGGGAGGGAGCAGTACAGGGTACTGTCCACACCTTATGGTAGGACAGTGTAGGGCATGTGCCTGTAGCAAGACTGCGATTCTATCTACTTCACTGCCAGCTCCTGGATGAGGCCCTTTCCCATATATTAATTCACTTAATCTTCTGAACAAAGCCCGAATCCATTTATATCCATAAGGATTCTAAATGCATTACGTCAGGAGAAAGTATATGAACTCCAAGCAAAGGGGAACAATTTAGAACAATACTCCTATAAGGCTCTCTGGTAAAGAACCAACCTAGCACAGACTAGTATTTTGTAAAATACAATAAAAAGAATTACTAGAAAGATTTTTAAAACGCACTGGAATACGAGGGAGAATGTGTAATAATGTTCATCATTAATCCACATTTCTGTTTTGGGCTTATTTTGCTTACCACAGTGTCCCTTGGTTGCATCCATTTTGCTTCAAATGGTAGGTCTCTTTTTTCTTCTTGGCTGCATAATATTCCATTGCACGTATATGCCATCTTTTCTTTCTTTTATGCATTTGGTACAGAGGTTCACTATGCAGCTCAGACTCATAGTGGTCCTCTTGTTTTCAGACTACTGGGGCTACAGGCGAGCACCACCACTCTCGGTTTTGGAAGCTGGCTTGGTGGGACCAGGGGTGGTGCCTGCATGGCATGTGGTGCTGGGAATCGAACCCCAGTCCCTGTGCTTGCCTAAGCAGGCACTTAGTCTGCTGAGCTATCTCACTGGCTCATGCCATCCTTTCTCTATCCATTTGTGTTAGTTGATACATTGTGTCAACTTGGCTGAATCAGTTCCGGCAGTTGCAGTCCAGGGGGTCCAGCCCTGCATGCAATAGGTTCCACCCTAGGGCTGCCCCAGAGTGACTCAGCACAAAAAGTGTATGGAAAATTGTTAAGGAAGGCTTCCTGCGGCCCTGCCCCGCTTCTGTGAAGTCCCAGTCTTTGGAAGAGCACAATCTTCACAGCTCTACAATTTAGGGGAGCGCTGGTCTTGGCAGTCAGCACAGAAGGAAGAGAAAGGCTTGATGGACACCAAAGGTGCTGCTCCTCCTCTGCTCTTCACTGTTTTCTGCCGCCATGAACTGTTGTCGTTGCCTTGGAGCCAGCGGTATACAGACTGAAACCTCCAGTAACTGTGAGCTAAATAAACCTTTCCTTCCTTCAAAAAAATAAAAATAAATAAATAAATAAATAAATAAAAAGCACTGGAAATACAAACTTCCAGTTTTTATTTTTAGACTAAGTGGACATAAAATTGCATTTTCAGTTACCATCAATGTTTCTAAAGAAGTGATTTCTATATATCTTTGCAGGCTAATCACAGGATTTAGATCAATAGTGATTTATACACTCCAAGTAGCACACATCTTTTAAAAATCCATCACCTAGTCTCCATCAGCCTCTCAAGAGATTCATCGTTATCTTAGAGGCAGAAAGTTCTGAACAAGTTGCTGGAGACCCTAGAAACCTTCACACTCTCAGAGGCTTCTGCCTGCTTTAATAAGGCTCCACCATTCCTCTGTCTTTATCCCAAAAAACTCTTACCTAGGGAGATAAAAGTTGCAAATAGCTTTATTCTTTTCAAGAACTGCCCTTAAAGTCTTACTGAAGTGAATATAAAATCAGTATGTTTCTTTTTTCTTGGTGGAACCAGGCACTGAACTCAGATCCTTGCACTTGCCAGGGAAGCACTTATTCTACTGAGCCATCTCCCCAGCCCCAAAACCTATGTGTTTCAATAGAGAGCATTAAAGACCATTTATCTCTAAGACTTCTCAAAAGCTGCACCTTGTAGTCATCAGTCCTAAACTCTTCTATCACAGTCCTCAGCCAACCTTAGACACCACTGCACTGAAAGGCCTGCTACCTCTGGATCTTTTTTTTTTTTTTTTTTTTTTTTTTTTGTGGAACCGGGGATTGAACTCAGGTCCTTGCGCCTGCCAGGGAAGTGCTTACTCCACTGAGCCATCTCCGCGGCCCTATTTTTTGAAAGGCAGAACTTAACAATCAAACTTAATGGTGGTGCATGCCTCAGTTCCCTGCTACTTGAGAGGCTGAGGCAGGAGAATAGCAAGTTTGGGGCCTATTTGTGCAGCTTAATGAGACTGTCTCAAAATTTTAAAAGGCGGAGATGTTGCTCAATGGTAGAGCACTTACCTGGCATGTGTGAGCTCCTACATGCACTCCCAGAAGGAAAACAATAAATTTTTGTTGTTCTTCTTCCTATTAGTTTTGCTCAGTGGTTTTCAAAGTTTAGAGAAAACCCTAAAAATCACCTACACTTGAAATTGCTGGTACTAAGGAATGTGTGATGGTCAGCTTTAGCAACTACTGCCTTGGCTTCATTGTAGAGCTGACAGAAAGGGAAGATCAGACAGGCAAGAGATTTGCCCAGGAGCACCCAGTTACTAAACTGAGAGTAGACCTGAGATTATTCTCTCCCAGCACAATTGTCTAGGCCTAGTTTTCAGGGAAAGGCTGGCCTCGAGATTTAGAAGAGCCCCATGACATCCCACATTTAATTTGGAGCTTTACCTTTGGGTAGGATGAAACCATGGATGACCAACTTTATAAGAAATCTCCACGGGGGGCCGGGGAGATGGCTCAGTGGAATAAGTGCTTCCCTGGCAAGTGCAAGGGCCTGAATTCAATACCTGGTTCCGCCAAAAAAAAAAAAAAAAAAAAAAACCTTAAAAAAAAAAGAGATCTCCACGGCTAATCTTCATTAGGTTTTTTGGCAGCGCCACAGCAGAGAAGCAGAAATTTAAAGGAGGGCAGGCTTTATTAATGCTGAAGAAACTGAGAGGATCAAAAGGGCAGGGAGACAGGGAGATCCTCTGCCCTGAGACAGCAAGGCTGAGACTTTGGGGACTTTTGCTAGGGGCGGAGTTTGAGAGGCAGGTTCAGTGACACACAAGGAGCTGACTGGGGGCTCCCTTGTGTCTGCAGGAAAGGTGCCTGGATCTGGGGTGGGGAAGTAGGAAGAAGCAGCCACTGGGAAGATAAGCTGTTGTTTTGGGGATTCAGCCATGTTGAATCAGGGCCAGGATTCTTTAGCAGTTTGTACTTGGCTGGAACCTATCAATCTTAATGATTCCATAGTTAGGCTCTAAGTCCTGGATACAGACATAAACAATTTGTAAAAGAACCATAGAACATCAAGTGGCCTTCGGTGCCCAAATATCCGTGTTGATCACCTCAGTCAAAATCACTTAATAGAACTGGTTTAAAAACTCCTTGTTTCTCTATTTCATTTCAGAGTCCCTGAATTTGAATTTCTGCAGACAGGCTTGTTCATGGCCATTAACTCTGAGGAACCCCAGCTGGGGCTGACAGCCACTGTGCTGCTCCAACCACTTCATTCTGTAAAGGAAGAAACCAACTCAGAACGTGTTCAACTTTCCCAAGACCACCTGGCCACTGGGTGGGTGTGTCTTCCAATTCCCAAGAGCTGCAGGTCAGATTTTGAAGATGTCCTTTTCTCTTTGCTCTCTTGGTCACGAGCTGTTAAGGATATCATCAAAACACATTTTCCTGGGCAGGAACGATACAGTGTATCAGTAGCAGTCCCTGAAACCCCAGATTCTCTGATACTCTCTTCCTGGCAGGCAAATCCAGCAGTCACTCCATGGCTTTTACTTAGGATGAGTTGGGAGAGGCTGTCCCGGATGCAAGGCCCATCGTGGTGGTGCCTTCCCCAAACTCCTTTCCACCAGCAAGGTGAGCTTCAGCTAGCAACATGGGCATCTTGCAAGGACAAACCATTGCCCTCTGGCTCCTGGGCTTCCAACTTCTCAGTCTTGAAGGGGTTGGCGAAGAGGAGGTTGGCACCAAGAGTTAAGTGCGGGCCAGGTTGTTGGCGTCCACTCCAGTTCGAAATTGTACAGTTCGGTCCACTCCAATTCTTTCTTCCACCAGCGGCCCATGGCTTAGGCACAAAGCCTCAGAGGACAGGCCCATGCCGAGAGGCAGGAGGTGCAGAAACAGGGCTGGTTCTGTTCAGACCCTGATTTGCGCCAGGAGGGGGCTGGGTGGGATCTGGAGAGGGAAGCGTCCCTGCTCCAGCGGTCCCAGGCGGGAGGGTCACACGCATCCCCACCGCAGAGGCCGCGCGGCCTCGGCTTAGGGCCGCTGGCCTGGGCCCCTTCCGCAGACAGCCGGGCCGGAGCCAGGGCGCAGCTCCTAGCAGGGCGGAGGGCGGCGCGAGGGAGGGAGCGAGGGAAGGGAAAGGCGAGCGCGAGCTGCCTCGGATGCTTGGAATAATTCCGCTTCCGTTTGGAAAGCCGCAGCCTCAGCGCCGCCGCGTCCGCCCAGCTCCGCTCCGCTCGGCCCGCGCGCCATGGCCTCGTCCCCGCAGAAGTCGCCTTCGGCCCCCAAGTCCCCCACCCCCAAGTCGCCCCCGTCTCGCAAGAAAGATGACTCTTTCTTGGGGAAACTCGGAGGAACTCTGGCCCGGAGGAAGAAAGCCAAGGAAGGTGAGTGCGGCCGGGCCCGGAGGGCGCCGGGGCCTCGGCGAGCTGGGCGGGTGAGCCAGCCGCGGGACGCGCGCTTCCTGCAGCGGGCGGGCTCCGGGCACCCCGCA